CCGTATAAAGCCGAAACCGGAATCAAGTCGTTTTCCTCAACGCCACTGCTCAACTTGCATTGGTTATTAGGTGCAGGGATGAGTGGATGGATAACTATTGACGAATGAATGAAATTAGTTGTGTTCTACAAAAAAAGAAACACTGTATTACAAAATTAGAAAAATAAAGGCAAATAACACCCCAAAACTTAATGAGCCCAACAAAAAATATTACGGAAATTGACATACAATATTAAAATTTGACATGATAAAATTAATATTTATATTTATAATACTATTGTGATAGACCTATGTATGAAAATAGTGAATTTAAATTTTTAAAAGCAGTTAATAGTGGTATTTTTAGCGTGATATTAAAAATTTGAGTGCTTTGTATGTAAATGCTCAAAAATACTAAACAAAACTTCGATATTGATAAATATTTTGCTATTATTGGCCATTGGGTATTGGCACTAAATATCTATAGATGCAACCTTATTTACTGATGTGGAGTAAACCTATGATAAGGAAATATGAGCTTCAGTGATGTCCATGCATCAAGAGTGTGATTAAATAATGATGATACCATAACTCTAGCATTATATCACGTCAGGATTCATAGAATCTGGCAACGATTTGAAGGTTTTGACCAAGATCTGATGATCAAAATCCAAATCCACCATCAATTTGAAATCAAAATGGCTTTATTCTCTATTTTTCAGGCAGGGTGAGCTTGAACCAGAAACTATGATTTTTTTTACTTTATTTCTAAACAACCAATGTGCTACATATTTGAGCACTTCTCTATTTCTAGATCGATCGGAGAACTAATATGTCATTGATAAGAGACATTTAAAAGTAATACATATCCCTAAATGTGGTGATATATCCATCCCATGTGCACTTCACCAAAAACAAAGATATCGAAGTAACTTTGATCCCATAGTATATAAACACCATTTAAGGAGGTGATCAAATTGACTCTTGACTTCATTTCATTATTTATCCGTTGAGTTGCCATAGAGTTTTCTCCTGCCTTCAAGCTCCGGTATTGATTTGGGCTTTATATAATCTCTTCCCAAGAGACATTTCCTCCAATATGTTCATTGATTTCTCAGCTATTTGTAGGCATGAAATAAACCCATGCTAAAGATGGTACCTTGCTCGAATCTCAACTAATTAAAAATCAATTATTAGCGCATTTATGCTCAATTTCATTTTGAGAAAACCATCCCATTCTAACTGATCAGCTAAACATCTCTATCATTCATGTATAAAGTTAAATTTTACCAACAAACTCTGTCTAAACAGCTTTCTCAAAGGTGCATTGAAGTTCGATGTCCTCCAAAAAAAATCATCCCAACCTTAATAATCAACTAAATATCGATGACAACCCAAGGTCTACAAGTAATCTCTGTCTAAACATCATTTTCAAAGGTAAACAAATGTGCTAACTCGACTAATAAGTAGACCTCACTCTCCTTCAAACCGGAATAGGGATTGTTGTGTTAATCAAGTACAAAATAGTAGGATTACAACTCTTCCTTATATAATGAAGAATATGTATACAGCTCTTGAGGGCAATTTTATTCATACCCTTTGGGTCTATGTCTAATGAATGAGGAATTACAACATGAAATCATTCCTTTCATATGAGGTCTTGTCAAACAGGAATAGACCATCCCATCTCACGCATAATAATGGTAGTCACCATGATAATACTCTTGTGGTAACTTCCCTCCATCAAAACAATGCTTTTCCACCTCCTTGACCACCAAAACACAAAGAAGGGTGATCTTGTTGGCACGGTTAGCTCTATCAATCCACCTCAAGCAAACCTAATAACAATGAAACATATTATAGATATAGAAGGGGTAGTTAAATTGCCTCCATATAATGGTGATTTCACCCACAAGTTAAATCATCCTATTCCTCACATGTTCAAAGTTCTACAATTGGCTATGGCTCTGATGAACCTTACAAACAATCTAATTACAATAAGACATCATATATATTCGAAGTACCTCACACTCACTCTTATGCAAGATTCTTCCCATTAAACTTTAAGGGACGCACTTGTATTCCCTTGCTCATAACTACAATGATGCTCTCGTTGAACTAGATAAACTTTTTATCAATTTTTTATCAACTAGTTCTTTTGCAAATCAAGAAATAACTACAAAGTCTCCTTGCATTGCCATGACATCTTTTCAAAATGATGGAGAAACATTAAAAAATTACTTAGATATCCAACTGAGGATTCCAAGCATCTTTGAAGGATCTTCATGGGAGAATTCCACCCTAACCAATTCTAATCAGCCCAAATGTATGAAACTCACAATTATGTTGCAATGATCCACCATGTTGAGGCCCAAATTAGCACTAATGTGGTTATTGAGGTTCACAAACAATGATTCCATCATAGATAAATAAATTATCATTTCTCTAAAAAGTTCATGTATAACTTAAGTAACCCTTCTTAGTTTAAGCGATTCATCGCCAAGGGCACAATGGTCTAACATAAATCATGAAATAAGGCTTGATTCTCTACACTTTGAAATAGAGTACCAAAACACACATGTCTCAAGGATGAGTTGACGAGTCTATCAATTATAAATTACAACAAAAATACCACATAACCTTTACCCTAGCGCATCCTTAGTAGAAAATAAAATTGATTCTTGACTTCATTTCAATATCTAAAGGAAGTTCTGCAGTGCTTCTTTCAAGTTTTCTTATGCCTTCATGCTACATACAGCTTGTGGATCAAAAGTGCCTTGCTATCATAAAATTACACGTAAATATCATTTTCAAAACATGAGCCAAAAATAATACCCCGCAAAAATTTGCCTTCAAAGATTTCAACCGCTTTAAAAAGAATGGCTAAAAATCATACATAGCAATTTTCTGAAAAATCTCCCTCGTAAATGTTGTCATTAAGTTAGGCTATGAAAATTTTACCTAGGAATATTAAGGCTTAAATCTATTCAATATATAAGTTCTATAATACTAAATAGTACAAACATTAATCCAAGGGATGAAAAACTGAAATTTGTTTTTAAAAAAACACCTAACAAAACTAACACGATATTTTAAAATAAAGTATCAAATCTCAGCATTTGCATTAAAAGCAATCAAATTATTAAGAATAACAAGTCATTAAGACAAAGAAAGCAAATTCAACGCGCACTTTAAATTTAGTTGATAATAGTATCAATAGAAGCAGTTCAATCTTATATTTTAAATATACAAAATTTTAATATTACATAAAAACATTGCTTTCAAAAATTAACGATAAAAGCACTAAATCTGCAAATCCATATTTATAATAGTGTGATGCCATTACACATCCTAAATTTCAACATTTACTTAACATATAATAAGTAAATGAGTAAATTATGTACTTGCTAATTAATTTTACGGTACCCACCCAAAAAAAATCTAAAATTACAAAAAATTATACAGGTCAATTCAAAGTGATTTTTTCCCCTTCAAACAGTATTCCCAAAAATAATAAGCGGGGCATTGACATACATACCAAACAATTCTTATATATTTATACATCTAACACCTAAACTTTCACTTTTACATGCATAAAACTCAAATCTTTAACACCACATCAAATATATCATGACACTTGCAAACTATTTAACAGAGAAATATGTATTTCTATAACACCAAAATATTATAAATATAAATATAAAATTTTATGTGTTGAATAAGTAAATACATGTGAATTGGGAGATATGTATCTAAATGTTCCTTAAAAAAAATCAACATGCATTGATTACTATCAACCACAAATTAGTTGTCACTTTCTACACTGTCCAAGTTGACAATTTTGGCAAGTAATGCTTACCTAAAAAATAATCAAACTTATAAGAACAAAAGAAAAAACGTCTGGGATACGTCAGACTGCTCAGCTTTGGCCCCACTCACCAACAAAGCCAAGGTTGAGTCGAGAAACACCCAAATTTATCGTTAAAGTAAGGATTTTCAAAAAATCAAACAAACCAGTTCAAATGAACCAGGGCCATCAGATGGGGTCGAGAAATACAATTATCTTTCACATTCTCGGTTCAGGAGTACTTTGAAATTTTAATTTCATGTGCTGTGCTACATCTTATTATAAAATTATTAATTATAATTTCTTAAAAATGAAAATGGAAGACGGCGTAGAAGAAAAGTTTTTGTATGGGGAAGCATCCAAGCCGCATCTTCAGGACTTCTCCTGAAGTTGTTCCGTAAGAACGATAATTTTTTGTCATTTTAGATCACGTGACTTTTATTTCTACCAAGGTGACAAAGCTACTTCAATCTAAGCCATTGTACTTCTATCTTAAATTTTTTATTTTTTGATAGTGATTATTATTTATAGAGATAAAATATCTATCATTAAATTAACTATTTATATATGTTACATATTATAAGAGTAAAGATCAACACTTTTTTAATCACAATTAATAATTATATATTTCATTAAGGCGGTGTTTGGTAGCCTATTGATAGGAGGATTTAACAATGGATTTAGCTTAAATCCAGCCAAACACCGAAAAAATGAATTTTAAATCCAACACTCAATTAAACCGATATTTCTCTCATTCTGCATGATTTTCCCGGCGTTCCGTCTTTTTCTTCACATGAATCTGGATTTATTAAATCTAAGTTGCAGGCGGATTTCCGATCGGTGGCTTCGAAGCTTCCCTACTTCAAAATGGATTTGACAAATTCAGATTTACTAAATTTTGTTTAACGTAAATCTCCGATGCAGCCAAACACCTAAATTCGACTATAACTCTATAAGAACAATTTTTGGAGAGATGTTTTGTTTTAAACTTAAAAAATTCACGTTTGGAATAGGAATAATTTTTAGTTTATGATTTTCATATAAATATATTTAAACATCTTTAGTTTATCTTCAAAATTTTTAAATATATCTTCGTTTATATTTATTCTAATAAGAATTTTCCATAGAAATAAAACAAAATGCAAAAATATAATTGCAAGCAGACAGAACTCACCCCGAAGCAGAAACCAGCAGATCCACCATCAAACTCTTGCAGCTTTGTCTTGCCGGAAGCCGAGACCAGAACAGAGCCACGACGTTTTCCTCCGCCGCTGCAATCAACTGTTTCAGCATTGCAATAGCCATTACTCGAGGAAGCCGCCATCGTATTCGCAGCGGGAACCCAACCGCAGCTAAACCTGCTGGGATCAAGGTCGTCCTCAAACATATCCATAAACAGCTTTTGTAGATCCTCGAAGCTTTCCTGGTCATTATCCTGCAAACGAAAGCTATGAGGTTTATAATGCCAGCTCTAATGGCGGATATCAGAAAAGTATGCTTTTTTTTTTTTGTTTATTTTGGCATAACTTACATTGGGCTTCGTCTGCTTCATCATGTGAACCATCTCGTCTACAAAGTCACCCATTCCCTGTAGTAGCATAGCAGAGCAGAAAGAAAAAAAAATATATGTATATCAAATTTAAAACGAGGATAACAGTAATATATGACGTTACAGTCGCAGTTAACGGGAAAAAAACTCACGTTTTCGTCATCGTCGCTGTCATAAACTCCCACGTCGTACAGGAATCTCTTATTGGAATCGGATAGAACTGAATAAATCGTAGAAAACCAGAACACAGATTACTTTTTATAATTTTAAATTTGATAAACAAAAACTGACTTTTTTAAACTATTAAGAGCAAAGGGAATCAAGGAGGAACGGACTGGAATATGGAATAAGCTTCTTGGACTTGGATTGCCTGGAACTTTTCTTTTGCTTCCTTGACAGACTCCGATTTTCCAGTCGCAGAGCACCGGTCAGGATGCCATCTCTTTTATCAAGAAATCAACAACAAGAGAAAGACGATTTCAGAAATAGAGAAAGAGAACATTTGAAATCGACAACGAAGCTTAAAAATTGGAGAGAACAACAGAGATTTGATGTTGTTCCTAAAAATTTGGAATATAAAGCAAGAAACCCTATTAGAGAAGTCAAAGAATTTTAAGATATTGGGAGGAAGAAGCAGATGATGAAGAGAAAATAGGAGAAACATATTTGCTTAATCGTCGGACTGTTACCAGAGCAAGCTTCTTGTATGCATTCCGGAGTTCGGCGTCGGAGCACTCCTTTTTGAGACCCAGCACAGAATAGAAGTCGCCGTTCTTACCGCCGCCGGCGGCCATTTCCAGCCAGACGGTTTCCCGTGAAGCTCTCGTAACGGAGATCAGATTGGTAATACTAATATATGGAGAGCTATTCAAGGCAAAACCTTACATCTTTGACACGTAACCCTGCGATTTCTCGAAGAAGCAGGGGAGGAGGAGAAGGGCGGAGGTTCTCGAGGAGAACCAGGCAGCCTCCACGGCTCCACCTCAGGAACTCTCCAGAAACGAGTTCTCATTCCATTTTATCCGCGTTTTCGAGCGGCGTAAAAATGGATGGTGCGGTCAAATTTAGACCAGACATCCAAGCCTGCTATGGCCATGGATGGACAAATTTAAGATCCCTTTTTGGGGCAATTGATAAGAGCAAGGGCAGCGAGGCCGTGAGTTAAATCTCATGTTGTTGTTTCAAGATAAGTTATTTATTTTTAAACGCACAAAATTGATAAGAGCAAGGGCAGCGAGGCCGTGAGTTAATTTCAAGATAAGTTGTTTATTTTTAAACGCACAAGATGCATCAAATATATTCATAATTTGAAAAAATAAGAATTTAGGTAACTCGGTTAAGTCAAAGGCTGTAATGGTCAAGCCCGATCCACCCATATAAAGCTCAGATCAAAAAAAAAAAAAAAAAAAAAAAAAAATTATTTAAGGGAATTTATATACATAGCACATAATTCTTTTTTATTTAGTGTTTATATATCTCACATCCAGATGTTAATATTTATTGACTAAATTTTAATAAAAGGTATAGTTTTTTTATAAGAAATGATTGATATTTAAATATCTATGTGTTTCGTTATTCATATTTTTACAAAAATCCTAACAAAAATCCACTCTCCTCAAATATAAATTTTGTTGCGAAAAAATTCTTTTAGCAAAATTTGAATGACTGTTAGCAAAATTTGGAAGGCACCACAAATACGCTGCGGAAAGTTTCTTACATATTAATTTTGCTAAAAGTCATTTTTTATATAATCCAAATTTTTGCATCTAGATTTTTCTTTTAGGGCCCCATGCTAGCCCTGAATATAGAGTGGGCAGGCTTGGCTATGATTTTTTATATAAAATTTGGGCTTCAGCGCTTTGACTAGTTAAAACCCGATTAACCCAAGCTCATGCCAAGCCTGACCAGCAGTTCTAGTCAGATGTTTTAAATAAAGTTTAATATGTTCAATTTCTTACTTATGAAATTAATGTTAAAATTAATTTAATATATGGTTTTTGTAACTTATATATTTTTTTATAAAATAAAATATTACAATTTTAATTTTATAGAGTTATGAAGCTTACACAAATAAATAAGTTCTAAAAATTTTAAGAGATAATTAAATATATATATATATATCAAGAAGCTCGTGAAAGAAGATCTTAGATGCTCTTATGGGTAGGGTAAGGGACAATTATCTCTGTCACAACAACGCGAAAGAAGATCTTAGATGTTCTGTTGAACAAAGTCAGAGACAACTTTTTTCTTCAAAGCTGAAAAAGATCGCGAAAGAAGATCATGGATGTCATATTTGGCAAGGTCAGAGACAAATTTTTCCTTCACAACAACACGAAAGAAAATCTCAAATGTTTTGTGTGACAGGGTCAAGTAAGACTTTCTTCTTCGCAGAAGTGCAAAAAATGATAGCGAAAGAAAATTTCAGATGTCACGTTGGGCATGTTCAGGGACAACTTTATTCTTTACGACCATGTGAAAGAAGATTTTAGATGTCTTGATGGGCATGAACAATGAAAGCTTTCCTCTTCACAATAATTAAAAAGAAAATTGTCAGAGAAGATCCTGAATGTCAAACCAAGCAAGGTCTAGGAAAATTTTTTGATTCACAACAGCGTGATAGAAAATTCTAAATATCATGTTGGCTAGAGTCTTAGACAACTTTCTTCTTTACTGCAGTGCAAAAGAAAATAGCAAAAGAAGATCTCAAATATTCTGGGCAGAATCGGGGATAACTTTCTTCTTTATAGAAGAGCGAAAGAAGAATACGAAAAATCATGGTTGTTCTACCAGGCAATGTCAGTGAGAATTTTCTCTTTCACAGTAGCACAAAAGATGATCTCAGATATTGTGCTAGGCATGGTTGGGACAACCTTCACATATTCTTGTTTATTTTTAGGCTTAAAATTGCCCAAAAAAAATACTGCTAAAAATATATCCAATATTACTTTAGCTCACGGATCATTGATGTGGTTGTCTACCTTCAATTCGATCACTCCCCCTTTCCATCGTACAGTCTAGCGTCCCACGGATTGTTTGTAATCCATTCCCAAGAGCCTGTCGTCTATGCTAATGGATCGTTGATGTAGCCATCCACCAACCATTAGATAGCTCTGGCCTTTGACCAACTCCAGCCACCTATAACCTCCGTCGTCTCCGGCCACTGCCACCTTCAGCCAAATTCAACAGCCGTGATAGTCGGGCGCCTCCTACCAACTTCAGTCCTTGCCTCAAGCCAACTCTTATTGCTATCTTCGGTCACCACTGGCGTTAGTTCCTCCAGCTAGCTCCAGCTCCTACCGGGCCACCTCCTACCACCCGCCACCGCCCTTCTTGCGACTAGCCTTTAACCACCATTGTCAGCCAACTCCGACCACTTTCAGGTCGCCTTCGGCGAACTCCAGACGTTCTATACCAGCCCCCGGTACCCCTCGACATTGTTACCGCCACCTCCTACCAACTCTAAGCACCGTTGGACCGCCACTGGTCAACGTCGACCACCACCATCATCCACCGCATCTAGCTAACTCCGGAGGTCACCGCAGCTGTCGAACACAAGCCACTGTCGGCCGCCAACCACCTTTGGTCACATTTATTGGCCAACTTCGATAGTTGCCTTTGTCGGTCACCATTGACCAACTTCGACTGCTGCACTGCCAATCCGCCATCAAACTTTACGTGTCACCACTGCGAGCTACCTCCAATCACTCCAATTTTCGCCATAGCTGTCGTTGGTCACCTTCGACCTCCGGCCAACTTCGATCGCCACCTCTAGTGGCAAATTAACAATTCAAGTTTGTGAAAGAAATGAGATTTGAACCCATGACCTCACACAAATGAAATGAGTGACCCGTCGAATGGCGAGAGTATACACAAATGAAATGAGTGACCCGTCGAATGGCGAGAGGATACTATTATACGAGCCTCCAACCACCCTTAATATGCCTAACAATTCGAGTACCACCTCGTTAAGGCCAACTGTGCCAGAGAGAATACAAACTCCCGACCTGAGAGGTCTTGTACTGTGGATGTCAACCAACTGTGGACTAGCATCCTGCACCGTAAAGTTGGCTAACTATGATGGTTGTCGCCTCCGGCCACCACTTCCGCTAGATGCCGCCGCCTTCCAACAGCTATGGCAGCTGCCACCTCATGTCGATTGATAAAACTCATAAGAATTGCATGCGATGTATGTAAATGCCCCTATTTTATTTTGTATATAAATATGTGTGCAAAAAAGAAAAATATTTTAAAGCATTTGTATCGTAGTTTCAATCACCCCCAAAATTATGAAGTAATCCATTTTTTTTATTTTATGAGCTTAATCTCATAAATAATAAATCAAAAGTTATTCGATGCAGATCAAATTATCTAGCAACATTTATTCTTAAATCTTGTCGTCATATTCTTTTCGAAATGAATAAATAATGTCGAGAAAAGTGAAATGGGATAGGAAGTGGGGTGGGCATCGGGAACTAAGGCTGGTTGAAAAAAAAATTATATCCCCCGCACTTTACGAAGTCCCCATTTAAAAAAGAGAAAGAAAGAGTTATAATATTTTCTTATTTTCTTTCTTTTTGTTAAGAAAAAAAATTTATTTTTTACACTTTAAATTTTCTTAGGGAAGAGAGAAAGCGAAGGCCTAACCAATTTTTACACTAAGGCTGATTGTAAACAAGCCGAACACGAGCGAGCCCGAGTTCAACTCATATTTGACTCATTTATATTTCGAGCTCAAAAAATGTGTTCGTGTTCGGTCGTTTGCTTAGCGAGTCGAACACGAGCCGTTTACGAATAAAGAGTCATTTTTTGACAACTCTAACAACGAGATTACAAAATATAAAGAGCAGTCAATAATGAGTAGCCATAAGATGTTAAAGATTGGG